GCCATGACTAGGTAGCAGAAGATGCCCTCGGGAGTCATGAAGGCAGTTTTTTCGGCGTCCTCCTCGTGCATGAATATTTGATGGTACACCCCGCGGTCTCATCCACCAATTGATCAATATTTGGTAGAGGGAACGGGTCCATAGGGCACGCCTTGTTGAGATCGGTGTAGTCCACGCACATGCGGAAGGTAGGGGGCTTCTGTGCCAGGACCACATTCGCTAGCCATGAGGGGTATTTCACCTCCTTGATGTGCTTAATAGAGAGGAGCATGGCGACCTCCTTCTTCACAAATTCCCTCCTCTCGGCGGAGAGGGGTCTTCTTCGTTGCTGCACTGCTTTTGCCGAAGGGTCCACCGAGAGGCGGTGGGTGATGACCCTTCGGCTGATTCCCGGCATGTCCTCCGGCCCCCATGCAAAGACAGTGGAGTAGGCGCGGAGGGCGTCGGTGATACCGGTCTTCAAATCTTCAGGGAGCTGGGCTCCAATCTTCACGACTCTCTCCGGCTGGGCCGGATCGAGCGTGAAGTCTTCCACGTCCTCGGCCGGTTCAGCCCTCGGCCTTCTTTCCTTTTGGTCGATGGCTCCGGTGATGGTGTCAACACAGAATTCCGTCTTGCTTACCTTCTTAGTGACCTGAAGATAGCAGGCGCGGGCAATTTTTTGGTTCCCCCGGGAGTAGCCAATGCCCCCCTCGGCGGGAAACTTGAGGCAGAGGTGCCTCATGGAGATGATGGCTTCGAGGTCCTCGAGGGCTGGCCGGCCGAGGATGATGTTGTGGGCGCAGTCAATGTTGACGACGACGAACTCAACTTCGAGCTGGGCTCTATGGAGCCCGTCGCCGAAGATCACCGGGAGGGTTATTACCCCCTCGGAATCAACAGTATCGCCGGTGAAGCCGACAAGAGGGGTCTTAATGGGTCGAAGGGACCCCCTCTCCAGATGCAGCTCTCTGAAGGTGCTGAGGTACATTACATTGACGGAGCTGCCCGTGTCAACGTAAACTCGGTGAATGATGGTGTCGTTTATCTCCGTCCGAATCACCAAGGCATCCCTGTGAGGAGAAGAAGTGGGGGGGAGATCTGCGTTGGTGAAGGTGATGGGATCCTCCCTCAGTCGCTTTACCGGGGGCATATGAGTGACTTCCCCTACGTAAAGCGATTGAGCCCACTTCTTTCGCTGGCTGGTGGAATCGCCCCCTGTATTGCCACCGGTGATCATGAGGATGTGGCGTTTCTTCTCCTGGTAGTGGGGGTACTCCTCCTCCTCTTCTTCCAAGTTCCCGATTTCCCTCTTCTTGCCGAGGGGGAAGGTATTCGGATTTACCCAGGCATTTACCTTCGTATGGTGCCCTCGGGGAGGTCCCTGATGAGAAGGTCCCTCCTGCCGAGGGCTCTGGACAAATTGGGACAGGTGCCCCGCCTGTATTAATCTCTCGATGGCCGTCTTCAGCTGATGGCAGTCACCGGTCCTGTGCCCCTGGTGCCGATGGAAGCGACAGTAGGGGAACTGAGGGTTGATAGCGTGTACCTCCGGGGGTGCGCGAGAATCACGCTCAATGAGGCCCCTCTCCTCGGCAAAATCGAGGATGATGCTGACGGGGTGCGTCAATGGTGTCCGAGGGCGGTCCAGGAGAATGGGCTGGGCCCAAGTCTTAGGGTTGCTCTTATAACCTCCCCCGGGCTTGGCTTGGCCTTGCCGAGGGCGGTCATCAGAGGGTCCCGAAGCCTTGGGGTGATTTGGAGGAGCCCCCGGCCCTCGGTTATGCTTGTTGTCAGCCCTCGGGGGCTGCTGGTCCGGATGCTGGTGATACTTCTCCACCTCCTCGGCCTCAGCATATCGGTCCCCCCGCTGCAAAGCCCTTATGTAGTCGCGGGGGGGGGGTTCAATGATGAGGCTCCTTGAAAAGTTACCGGTGCGGAGGACGGTTTGTAGGAGGGCCAGGAGGGTCCCGTCATCAGCACCGTCGACCTTGTCGGCCTCCGTCCTCCAGCGCTCTAGGAAATCCCGAAGGGTCTCATCCTTCTTCTGGCGTATTGTTAGGAGGTGGGAGAAGTGCTTCCTTGTGCGACGCCTCCCGGCAAATTTTGTCAAGAATCGCTGGGCGAGTTCTTGCCACGAATCAATGCAGCCCTCGGGCAGCCTGTTGAACCATTCGTACGCCGGCCCCTCTAAGGTGGAGAGGAACCAACGACACAAATATTCGTCTGACGCCCCTACCATCATCATGCTGTTCTGGTATTTGTTGTAGTGTTCCTGGGGGTCCGTTTTTCCGTTGTAGGGCTGTATGTGTTGCCCTCGGTATTTTTCCGGGATCCGGGCCGCCAATACCCTTGGGGTAAATGGCGTCCGAGTCCGGAGCTGGATGACGGGTTCCCCGGAGCCCTCGGCCACCCTCTTCTGTAACTCCTCCATTTTGGCCATCATGGCCTCGTATTTGAGGTCTGAATGAGGGGTGGAGGTGGTGGCGTGAGCTTTGTTGGACTCCATCTCGTCAAGCCGGCGTTGGAGGGCCGCAATAATCTCGTCCCGGGGATCCTTCGGGAGGGTCTCCGCCCCCTGCGAACGAACTCGAGCCGAGTGGGCCTGGTTGATTTGGTGCCGAGCATCATCGGCATGAAGGGGTGCCTTGCCTTTGTCCCGAGGGGGACGCTCCACGTCTGCCCTCGAAACAGATCCCCCGCTTTCCTGGGGCCTTTGGAGTGCTTTCCCCCCGAGGCGGTCTTGGACCCCTCGGCGGTCTGGCCCTCCTCCGAGCCGGTTGAGGGCGGAAGTACGGGGCCTTTCCCTGTTGTCATTATGGCGGTCCCGGGACTGAACTTCCTGGGAGGACGTATCTTGGGCCACCACCCCTTCGTCGTTTCTCACCCGAGGGGTGGGATTTCCGAAGGGGTGTGGCAGAGGGGGAAGTATGATATTTTCCCCGATCTGAGGGTGAGCTGGAGCCAGGGTGCCGAAGGCACCCGGGTTCTGGGTGAGCGTCTGGATGAAGGCAGAGAGCGCCGATTGCACGTCGATGGTGAGAACCGGAGGGCTGACTTGGTCATCGCTCCGGTTTTTCTTCTTGGCCTCGATACCGAGGCGGGCATCGGGGGCATTTTGGTTGATCTGAAGGCGTAGGTCGACAGCCGCCAGTTCCAGCCCAGCGATGACACCGCCCTCGGGAGCCCTGTGAGAGGCTTCGGGGGCGTTGACGTCGCCGAGGGCCAGGTTCTTGTCTTCTACGTTCTTTGAGTTGGCACGTGTTGTCCTCACCATTTTGATAGAGGGCTAGTGTTTTGTGTTTGGTCGAGGGGGAGGGTTTCTTACTTGATTGTTCGACCTCTCAACGAGAGCACCAAAATGATGGATAGTCTACCCGGGGGTATATATCCGAAGGGTTATTACGGGGAATAACTTAGAGAGAAGTCAGAGCAAGTAAGTAAATGTAGAGAGAGAGTGTATTCAGTATGAATGCCGTTTTCAGCGTGGTTACAAATGAGGAAATGGGGTGCTATTTATAGTAGCAATAAATCCTGGACAGGGACACGTGTCAAGCGCTCATTGGCCGAGGGGTCACCTCAACTGGTTGGCGCTGGCAGCCGCATGTGGCCGCATTTAATGCGGCTGTTGGATGGGACGTCTGTGCAGGGTACGGTGATTTGCACGCATGTGGGGCGGATATCTTGTCGGGTGAGATGCCTTCGGCTATAGAGCAATGGCCGAGGGATCCTCCAACCGATGGCACTCTGGTGCCGAGGGCTACTGTTTTCGCCGTTTTCTCCCAGTTTCTTAATTTGCTTGCGAAGCCCGTCCTGTGAGAGTTTAGAGCCTTCGGCCAGGGGGCCGAAGGCACCCCTGGCGCGTAATGCGGGCTGCTTGGTACTCTGGGCGCTGTGATCTGGGCCTGTTGAGCCTTCTGGGCCTGTTGGGCCTTCGCTGGAGTAGTAGGAGTCTGTGGGCCGGGGATTCCCGGGCCATATACTCCATCATCATGTAATAGACTAGAAGAATCATCTTAAAACAGTATACTAGATGGGGGCCCGGTTGTTATGAAGTTAGTTAGATTTATAACCAATTGTATAAATACTTGTACTCAGTTCATTTTTGAGATCAATCTGAAATAGTATTATCTCTTATCTTCTTCCTCTTCTATTTATATGTAACTCACGTGTATAAATATGTAACTTTACGTGTAAAAATATGTAATTCGCGTTCAGACAGGTCAAATACAACTCGTGTGTATAAATATGTAACTCACGTGTATAAATATGTAACTTTACGTGTAAAAATATGTAACTTTTCGTGTAAAAATGTGTAACTCGCGTGTATAAATATGTAACTTTACGTGTAAAAATACGTAACTTTACGTGTAAAAATATGTAACTCGCGTTCAGGCAGGCCAAATGCAACTCGTGTGTATAAATATGTATCTTTACATGTACAAATATGTAATTTTACGTATAAAAATATGTAACTCACATGTATAAATACATAATAAAATAAATTTTTTATACACACTATTTTAAGATAATTTCCCGAAATTTACTCATATTCAGGGAATAAAAAACATGATAGTTCTATTTTGGAATTTCAAAGTATGTTTACTCCTATTTAGGGAATTCTCTCATAGCTGCTTTGTTGCATTTTTATCCAATCAAGCATTCACCATCATAGTCATATAGAGGGATAGAATTGTTGATAACTACGTAGTACTAGTTATTTAACCCGTGCGTTGCACGGGATGAAAACTGGATTATTTTGACAATAATTCAATTATTTTTCTAAATGAGCGCATAATATTGTTTTCCCTCTGTGAATTATAATTAAAATGTTCTCAATTTTATTCAAGACAAAATGCAATATTACAAATTGGTAAAGACCTCTTTGTATACAACATTTAATGTGGAGTTTGTCGGTCTACCATTATCATCACATATCAAAAACTTCAAACCAGCTAGACTCGTGACTCTTGATACAGCATGGGTGAAAACCGGTCGCCGTAAAAATATGCCCACATTTTCCAATGACTGGCCCTGACTCTTATTTATAGTCATTGCATAACTAACCATCAGAGGGAATTGCCTCCGCTGGAAAGTGAATGGCAGTCTGACATCAGAAGGAGTCAAGGTAAGACAGGGAAAGAAATGCTTTTGGCCAGCAGTTGGCCCTGACAACATTTGGGCCTCAATAACATGCTTTCCAAGTCAGGTCACTAAAAGTCGAGTGCCATTACACAAACCCAATGATTGATCAAGATTCCTCATAAGCATCACAGGGGCACCCACTTTTAATTTGAGCTCATGGCTAGGTACTCCGGAACATTTGATTCCGTTAAGGAATTCTGGAGAATGGATCTCTTGCAATAAACTACTATCAGAATCAGATAATGATGCAGAATCGGAGCTGTAATATGTCTTCATCTCTGATGGTAGTTGTTCGAGCATGTAATCATTAACCTTGTCCACCTCGTCAACTGTTGGCGCAAGTATTGCTCTTGACATTAAATATGACGATGATGTGCATTGTGCTAAAAAATCGGGATATGTACTCTGGACCGTAGAAGTAACTGGATCAGAAATCCAAGGCACGAGGAATTCTTCGGGTATGTCAATATATGATTCTCCATCCTCATTGTCACCTAGAACCCCATCCCATATCTTTAAAATCCAATCAATGAACCTTTGTATGTATGCAAAATTAAGATCGTCTGATCCACTTCGCACTCTCATGTTCTTCGTTAGCCTCAGTACCTTGCAAAACGGCCAAATGAAGGATGAGTTTAAAGTCGCCTGCACAATATCTTGCCTACTACCCTTTGGAATTACCGGTAAAATCTGTATAAAGTCTCCGCCAAAGACAATTGTCTTTCCACCAAAAGGTTTGCTCCCATCACAACCGTATGAATGTCGAAGAATATCCCGCATAGTCCGATCAAGAGCTTCATAGCAGTACTTATTAGTCATGGGTGCCTCGTCCCAAATTATCAATTTTGTCATTTGAATCAGCTTCGCAAGTGCACTTCCTGGTTTTATGTTGCAAGTTGAATCTTCTGCTGCTGTGAGTGGGATTTTAAACCTGAAAGTTACAATTCATTGTCTTAGTATTCATTTGGAATTATAAGTTTTAAAAACTAAAAAAACTGACCTGGAATGTGCCGTTCTTCCACCTGGAAGCAGCAATGATGCGATCGCACTTGAATCTACGTTCAACACAATATTTCCTTGATGCCTTATATATGCTGATAAGGTCTTCCACAGATATGTTTTACCTGTACCGCCGTGTCCATATAAGAAGAACACACCGCCACGGTTGGCCTCTACGGAAGTTACTATTGTCTCGTAAACACGCTTTTGATCCTCCGTCAAGGCGGAAATTAATTTAGCATGTTCCTCCGCCAAAGCAAGTCTGTCATATCTCAATTCCTCGTGTATCAAAACATCATCAAGAGATGGAATGTCAAGATTCGTCACTCGAGGTATTCCGTCATAGTAGAATAGAGACTTTCCACGATGTTGTAGAAGTTTCTCAACTTCCAACAAACAATAATTCTCTGTTTGCTTCTCATCGAGCTGCAGTTCTGTAAAAAACATAATGGTTAGTGCAATTTTAATATTAATAAATTTAAGAAGTAATTAGAATATTATTTAAATTTCTATATTCTTAAATAATTGAATTTGTGTGTAGCATAAACAATTTGACTTTCATCTGCAAATATGATGTTTTGGAAACAAATTATTAAACCAACTACTATCTAAAAAAATAGTTTATTAAATTATATATAATGAACTATTTTTGAACATTTTTTAAGAGAAGTACTTCATATTCTTATGTCATAAAAATTATCTATGACATAAGAATAATGATCTTTAACTATAATATATGAAAAGGTAATTTTTAGTTTCAAAATATATTGCTTATTGTAAATCTACATCACTCTTAATATTGTCATTTATTAAATTTATGTAAATTTATGGAATGTCATTAAATAATAAACATACCTTGATCATTGAGATTCTTCCTAATAGTGTAGAGTATATCATCAGATAGATAGGGCCAACACTTCTCCCAAACCATATCAGGCATAGATAATGACTCTTGTAGTAAAAGATGAACAAATGTGACGCGAAGTTCATGTGTTGTTGCCCAATGACTCTGTTCTATAAGTCCATCTATATAGTCTTTATCGTCATTTAACATACTACGGGCAGAGCAAGCTTCTCTGAACGTCGAGTGTATGACTCCATCAACTGTCCTGAGTTCTTCAAAACTCCCGGGCCCCTTCACGACACCAAGGAGCATTCTCAAATAATATTTCTCCCCTGCTCCTGGACGCATGAAATATAGTCTTCCAATTGCGGTGCCTCTTTGTCGTGGTACCCACTCTCTTGTATTGTTTTTCCAGGTGAACTTTGTAGGAAATTCAGCATAAGTTAAACTCCTAGCTTGAGGATACAAATTATTTGCATTCATCCAAGCTAGAAACTTAGTAGCGTGGATAGTAGGACGTCTAAGCACTGAAGTGACATATTGTTCAGGATTGTAGCACACACTATGTTGGCCCGGGAGATGAAAGCTTAGACGTTCAACTGCGACGTCCCTGTAATGAATGTGGAATCCAAATATTCTCCAAGCCGCTTCACATGCAGAGATATACCGACAATCGTAATACATTTTAATCTCATCGATATTTTCTGGCATACGTTTGTCGGACGCCTCAGAGAATGCTACGGTGATTCGATCATTGCCCTTGTTGATGTACTTGAAGAGGTATTTCACTGCTCGAGTTTGGTTACACCACTCAACATTAATGTGAGCCCCATACTTGAGCAATAATGCACGGTTATGAGGAACGATAAATCTATTGTCAAGTGGATTCTCATTCTTCCAAACTCTCCTTCCATTATCTCTTCTTCTGTAAATAGGAAATCCACTTCCATCAATTGTAGTACGGCTCACAAATTTTTTCGGAAAGTGTTTAGTGCAACGACCCTTATCCATACACGGCGAAGATGAGTTCATAAAGCCACAAGGCCCGTGCACCATCAACTCTTTGACAGCAACATAATAATCATGATCAGATTTCTCATCAGGAATCTCCGCTGAAATAATGTTGTCGATGTGTGATGCCAATATAGTTGTGTCCCTTCGTGTCAACCACAAAACAATATGGGTGATGGAGTATATGGCCCAGGGACCCCCGGCCCACATACTTCCTCTACTACAATCAGGCCCAACAGGCCCAAACGGGCCAAGCCCGGAAAAATGGAGCTCTAAGCAGCCCACAATACGCAAAGGGGTGCCTTCGGCCCCATGGCCGAAGGCTACCAGTGACGGAATCGAGCTCAGAAACATCATAGGAGGACAAGACTTGAAAACCAAGCCTTCGGCAACTGCAGCCCTCGGCAGGTAGGAGCCCTCGGTTAGAAGAGGCATCACAGGAGATCAAGGCTTGAAAACCAAGCCTTCGGCACCTGCAGCCCTCGGCAGGTAGGAGCCCTCGGTTAGAAGAGGCATCACAGGAGATCAAGGCTTGAAAACCAAGCCTTCGGCACCTACAGCCCTCGGCAGGTAGGAGCCCTCGATTAGAAGAGCCTTCGGCCCAGCACCCTTCAGCCGAAGGCATCCACCTCGACAGAATATCCTCTTCACATGCGCCTAGATCACCGTACCAAGTACAAACGTCACATCCAACCACCGCATTTAATGCGGCCACATGCGAGTGCCAGTGCCACCCCGGTTGAGGTGACCCCTCGACCACTAGAAAACTGGCACGTGTCCTTATCTGGCATTTATTACTACTATAAATAGCAACCCTTTCCCCATTGTAAACCACGCTGAATACATATCGAATATACACTCTCTCTCTCTTACTTATTTGCTCTGACTTCTCTCTAGTTATTCTCCGCAATAACCCATCGGATAAGCTATCCCCCGGGTACACTATCCATCAATGGGCATGTGGCAATCGACGTTTCTGAAACTCCACCGTGTATACAACTACATAGTATAAAATTGATGGATAATACTTTTATTAGTTTACCATCAGATGGAAGTATAGGTGTTGAGTTTGAGAAAAGTACTTATAATAATGTAATTAAATAAAGCTTCACTAACTAATAAATAAAATCAACTCATACCTGCTTTGACTTCACCGAATAGTTTATTTTCTTTCAGGTCTTTTATGAGCATTTCAAGCTTTATCTTGAAGATTCTACAAATGATATCTGGACGATCATCTGGAGTGAGTCCTCTACATTCAACGTAGCGAACGATCTCAGGCCACATTGGGTTACATGTAAATGTGATGAAGAGTTGTGGGTATCCAGTCCACCTGCAAATGGACATTGCGTCCTGATAGTTTTGAATCATGTAACGTGCACTTCCAGTGAATGAGTTAGGAAGTACAATGAGTTGTCCTAACCTTGATCCATCAGTTTCACCACGGCCAAAAGCATCAGCCAATCCTGTATATAGTTCACTTCGCAAGTCCTTTTGATGTAGCCTAATATATGCCAAACGACATGACTCAATCATGGTATATCCGTCAACAATAAATTGTTGGAATAATCTCTTTGATCTCAATATGTAAGGGGACTCTGTATTCCTTTCTTGCAATCTGTATGAGAAGAAGTCCTTCATAGTAACATGTTTTCTCCCTCCTGTGGTCGCTTGAGATGCACGCGTCAGGTTAACATCCTCTCTGAATCCGTCTTGACCATATGGAAAAAGTAACGGATATTGCAATCCTAGAAAAGAAGGATTCAGTTCTGATATAATTTGAAACTTACCGGATTTCTTCTGAAGAACAACATCCCTCTCTTTTCTGTTCAAACTGAAGTCCCCTTCAATAAGTGCAGCTACCTCACGAGCTGTAGGGGTATTGTAAGTCCGTCCATCTGAATTCCTTTTACCAATAAGCTTCATCTTCAAAGAGATAGAGTTAGTCTCATTAAACCTATCACGAGCCATCCTAAATGATTGTGCGTGAACATTGTACGCATCCAACATATCTCGCAAATCAGATACTAATGTATCATGTAATGTTGTTCCACCAGATGACCTAAAATTGATATAGTCACATATGTTAATATTGAAATTTCAATCTAGAATATAATTCACATTTTGAAGGTATTATATTTTATCAAAATACTTCAATAAAAAATAGAGTAACTTTCTAAAAATTTAATAATAATTAACTAACCTCACATATGAGATTCTAGATGCAACCTCTTCTTCTGGATCGGTCAAATACATCTGTAAGAATTTCGAACGTTGTCCTTCATTTGGTATTAGGCTACCAATCTTGTGGTAATTTTGACCATTCAGCCTGAATATTGGAGGCGTTCTACCTCTATTTATATCTGTATCTATTCTCCCACCCATCGAAGTGAATGCAAACATAGAATTGTAGGAACGGATGTTATTTAAGAAGTGCTTACTTCTAGGCCCGGAGCGAAATATGAGGTCATTCAAAATATTAGGTGGTTGCTGCATAGTAGGGAGAACGACATTTCCTTGATTACAACACATTGAAAATTTTGGGCGTTGTTTGACAGAATGTCTCTTTACCCTCTCAGCATACCAGAAAAATGCTCCACAATACTCACACTCGTGGGTAGCATCTCCAAGATCCACATATTCTACAAAATATTATTCATAACAAATGGTTGAAAAAATAAAGATTTTTCTTAATTAATAAAATGTGTTTAAAAATATAGTTAGAAATATAATTAGGAGTAAGTACCTTGTGTATGAAAACATGAGCGGTCAACATTAGCATCTGTTCATAATTGAATGATGAAAAATTAAGATTATCACAGTTCAACCAATTAGGAAAAAAGACATTTCAAATCAAAAAGTACATAATCATTGTGTTTGAATTTATTGTTACGTACAACTATCTTCAAAGTCGCCCAAGTCAAAATCAATTGACTCATCAAGCATTCCTTCATATTCAAACTCTGGAAAATGAAAAAATATACAAACACATTAATGTGAATAAGATTATGGATGTGTGTGTACAATGTATATGCTATTATTAGTTTACCATACTTTATTATAAAACTTATAAATTTAGATTTGTAAAATTAGAAGATACTTCACATTGAGTTAAAATATTGCAATGTAAAAATATTTCTCAAATAATGATGGAAATATACTCTCAAACTAAAATAAAAGACATTTAATAATTTTTCAAGATTTTATAAATTATTTAATCAAGCATCTTACCTTCGCTGTCTAGGTCTATGTCACAATCAAGAGTGTCAAAATTGCTAGACCCAACTACATCTTCATCATAATTAGACTGGCCACTCACAAGTGGTCGTTTTCCATTAGCATTTAGTAACTCCATGCGTTTCGGCATCTATTGCCTAATGCATGTACGAACACGTATATATAATGACAGTGAGAAAGACACACACACATATTGATATGTACATTAAAACTAATTTGTAAAGTAAAACGAAATGCAGTGTTATTGTTATTATTATAAATAAAAATAAGTATACCAAGGGAACATCATTTTATAACATTTATATATATTTACTCATTTATTTATTTCTAATGATTTTATTTGAGAATTAATGGGTAATTTTTTTGGTAGATGAAATGGAAAATTAAAATTGTAATTATTAACCTTTATAATTTGAAAGCAAAATCTCTCTTGATTTAAATTACTTCCTCATTTAACATTATCTAACTTTAATTACGTAAAGTAGTGTAGTTGAAATGAAATTCTTCCTTAGCTCTAACAAATTTTCTCTCTTTTTCACACATTTAATAAAAATTGTAGGTATGTACGTGTGATGTAGTTATCTAGAGAGTTATACCTTAAGCTGTCACTCCAAGATGATAATTATCCAAATCAATTTTGAAGTTCATATAATAACTTCACATATAGTTCGTATATATAGATATAATGTTGGCCGGATGAAAAGCTATTGAAATAAATATACTCCAAAATCTGTCCCATGCCAGGTTATTATTATTATTATTAATAAAATTATTAGTAATCATACTATGTGGTATTTAATTTATACCTCTAGCACATACCGGCAAGACCAATCATATTTGATCTTATTAATATATAATGGTTATTGGTTAAAGACAACTGTGATTTGTACAACTTAATATATGAATGATAAAAGTTCTAGCAAATTTAATTGATTTTTTCATTGTTCTTGTAAATAATTTTTTCATTACAAATTAAAGCACCACTCATATAATAATCAACCAATTTTTTCCTTGTTCGTTCTTAAAAAAAACTATTTTTCTCAATAAATTTCATTTTTGTACATTTATAAGTGATATTGAGATTAATAATTAAAGACACCAAATAATTATTCTATAATGTGAATTTCTATATGTTATACTCCAAACGGTGGTTGTACAATCAAGGGATGAAAATTACAATAGCTAGCTATTCTAATTGCATTTCTTTTGATCTAATATATAGTGTAAAACGTAGGAGAGATATTTCCATGTGAATACAAAAATTTAGAATCTACACGTGATTATTAAATTTCTTGTTATTATTATAATTATATCCACAACTTTTTTAAACTAAATAGTTCACGATGGTTACTACTTAAAACTAATAGAAAGATTGTATATATGTCACAATTTTATTCGTCAGTCACAACTATGTTTTGAGTATAAGGGATTAAAAATTTTCATAATTTTTAAGGTAAAAAATTTTGTGTAATTTTTTATTCAAATAATAAAAATTAAATATTTCTTATATAAGAGTTCTTTAATAATAAAAATTGTCCTCTGAGATTATAACTAAGAGTTCATTTTTTATAACAAAAATAACTTCTACTTCATTATCAATTTAGTACAAAAACCAATTATATCAATCTTATACAAATGAAGTCAGTATAACTAACCTTGTAATAATAAAGCACTGAATGAGTCGGGTGAAGATGGTGGAGTAGAGTCTAGGCACTGGTTCATCAAGCAAAACGACATGTAACATAGGAGCAGAAATAACACTCATAATATTACCGCGCAAGGCTGAGGTTGGTCATTTAACCATTGAGAGTTGAAACTAAACGTGTTTTAAATTATAGGCGCAGCCTTTTTAACAAAAGTTGCTAACAAAGAAATGGGAAAGAAAGACAGCACTTGTGATGTGCTTGTTATGAATATAAAACATGGTATATATAGGTCTTTGGTTGAATAATGATAGATGTCTAACTTCACTTAACATTATCTAATAATAATTACGTGATGTAGTGTAGTTGAAATGAAATTCTTCCTTAGCTCTAACAAACTTTATCTCTTACTTTCAAATAGATAAGAACGGTGGTATGTGTTTATACATCATGATTTATTTAACTAAATAAATTAAAGGTTTAGAGCATATCCGATTAAATGAGTGAAATGGATCTCAATGTCATGGGTGAAGTGGAAAATCCCATATCATTTGTTTCTTTCTAATGATTTAACCTGCCTTTTAATAAATTTTTCAGTCTTTCCTTGGTTGTTGTCCAAACTAAAAAGATCAATGTTGTTTTTTATTAATCCTGCCTTTTATGAAATTGCAGGTCATTTATTTAATTAGATTTGGTTCCAAGTGCAAAATCAGCCCTCTTTGAAATTGACTGAGTTTTACCACTTTTACGTGTACTTTGTCAAGAGTTTTTAAGGAATGGAAAGAACTGCACTTTGCATATAATATTCACCAAACTTAGCCTTTTAACTGCAGATTATCATCCAAGGATTCCAAGGTAATGAGTACATTTAAATTAATTTTATAATACAACCTAAAAACTTGAAGGATATCAAAACCAAAGAGAAACACTAAACAGAGTAACTCCAGTTCGAGCAATATAAAGCTTGGTTTATTGATTGTGGTTTGCAGTTGGAAATTGCAAACAATTATTATTCGTTCATAACAGAAATTGCATCAAGTAGTTCCAGAAATAGAAGGTAACCTACTAATAAAGAAAATAATCTGGGTAAAATCATCAATTCCGTAATTGGAACAAACAAAAGAACACATTGAACACTCAAGTATCAAGCTTTTCAATTTTGATGCCTTTGAATTTCTTAGTTGTTGAACTATTTGTAGAAGAGTCAACATGTTGCTCACTGTTTGAAGGTCTCTTTGATGTTGAAGAAGGGGTGATTTCTAATATATCATCTTCAGTTGAGGATGGTGTCTGCAAGCAACATTTTTTAATTAGCGGTGAACAGTCAACCATGTTTGTATAGATGAACAAAAATTACTTACTATATTAGATGCAACAGTTGTCGGAGAAGCAAAAAGTAAATCAAGATCCTCATCAGAGTTGTAGTTCTGAACATCCAAATTAAAATGTATGAGAGTGTAGTCAGAAGACAATTTAGGTAACTTGATATATATATATATATGTATACACACACACAAATATTGTTAAAGCATACCACACACATTGTTGAATAAAATGTTTATTGAAAAATAGTCTCATACCACATATATTATTTTGGAACCATGTCCTTCAAGATTGGGTGCTTCATTTGTATAAAGTTTGTTGTTTAAAGTGGAATTTAAATAATTTATTCAATTAAAGTTATTAAATAATAGTCGTAATTAACTAAATGAGTTTAATAGGATTATAAATTCATTTAAATGCATTTCTTGTGCACCTTATTGGTAAGTGTGAAAGTTTAGAGAATTGTACCTGTGTTTCAGACTGATTGGCTCCATAAGATTTAAGCTCATCGATTTTATCTTGGTCAGTTGAGACCATGCCTATGGAATAACTCTTTCCGGTTAAGGTAGATCCTGATTGACGTTCAACTTTAAACACAAACTCACTACCCACCAAATCCTTTATTTCATTTGGACAGTCTGAAGGAGATAGCCTCTCCTAGAAATGTAGCAGTTGCCCATATATAAGTGAGATTTATTTATAACAGCAAATTTAATATCAAATAAAAAGCATATGTAGTTCTTAAGGGAAAAAATATGTAAAAAATTGATATTGTGAGGTGGCATTACCATGTCATAATAATGACTGGGGAAATCTCCAGCAGATTTTCCAATCAAACGATTGCATATGGCAC